CAAATCCCACACTCACTAGCACTGATGATGTTACCTAGTTGGGTAATGAAACATCTGCAAGAAAACCACCAAGCTCAGAGAGCACCAAAGACTCCACAGTTCAACCCTGAGCTACAGAGATTCTCTTCTATTGGTACTCAACAAAAAGTCGGAGTTGTTGTCGATATATGGGTGGATATGTGAAAAAGTGTGCTGTTCTGGAAGAAAGTGTCCAGAAGTAAAACTTCTATCTAAGCAAAGAGTAGAAAGCACTGTACTATACCACATCCTCAAGGGAGTTATTGCTGAATTACGAAACAAGGAACTTTTTATATTTTTACTTCTAGCAGCTAATTAATAATTGCTCAACCGTGGAAGTTCCTTGATAATTTAATGGTTGTAAAATGGCATACTAAATATAGTCAATTCCTCTTCTTGAAAAAATTACTGATGGAATTTGAATATTAAGTATACCAAGGAATCAACTACATTTTGACTGGATCTGGAAAGACTCTATATATTATGTTATTAAGAACAATCGTTCTAATCTTTAGTGAATCTTGCGATTTATGGAAACCATGAATGAATTCTGATTTATACTTCTGCCGAATGCACATTCTTTCTAAATAGAAACAAATTCAGAAAGTGTCTCCGGTGGGCTGGTAACTGAATAGCTTAACTAAAGATAGAGAAAAGGATTTTTGAATACGGAATTTCTTCTTAGCCCAGGGCTTGCAAGCTTTGGAGCTGTACAAAAATCCCAGGAAACTGAGAAACTGTGTAAAAGGTTCACTCAGAAGCAGCCATGTTTGGGGGTTTCAAAGGATTACGTCTGAACAGTTTTAGTTGGGTTATGTTATGGAAATTTTAGAATTCTATGTCTTTTGCTCGGTTCCATTTTATTCTTGCTACTGCAGCTTTAAGAAGAAAATCACCTTCTGATTTCCCCTTGTTTTAGTCATGGCCACGTTGGGCTTAGAAAAGAGCAGCTCTAACTTCACCGGTTCTCCATTCCTGTTCCTCTGCCCGTGAGTTCTCCTCCCTGCTCTTCTACTGTTACTCCAACGCATCTTCAGCCTCGCTGGGTCTTTCCCCCACCAGTGAAGTCTCTCAGGTGGAGCTCAACTAAGATGGGCCTTTACTTAACCACAAGCATACATCCTTCAAAATTCTCCATGTTTACCCTCCTCAAGCCTTCTGTTAAGTGCCTATAATTCAGTAAGTTTGGCACCGCTCTTAATTGCTCTTCATAGCTCCACCTCTTAACTGAGGCTCCCTCTGCCATTGCTGCATAATCTCCTCCCCTTTGTTTGCACTGTCCTATTGTCTTGAAAGCTTGCCTAGATACAAAAAATGCATTTAAAGCTTGTATCAAAAAGGGACGAGGGCGTAGCAAGATAGAAAGAAGCTGCTTTTTGTCCTTCCTGCAAGTGCTGTTAATTTTCTTAATAGCTGCTTGGCCCACCCAGACAAAAAACCCAAGACCTGCTCACTCAGCCATGCTTGATGATTTAGGACAGAACACACAGCAGAGAATTGACACATTGGGTGACATTCCTTTTCAGGTACCTTCTTAGATGACATCTTTTTGGACAAGACACCCATCTTTTGCTTGTTTCAATATTCTGCTTAAACCTATGTACAGGGATGTAATGATTGATAATTTGGGGTACCCTGATCCACATTTCTCTTTTGCATCAACAAAATCCATATTTTAACCTGCGCGTCGCTCTTGCCAATCCATTCAGTCTTTTGAGAGCAGAGGGTTCTTGAACCAGTTCTTCATAGCATGCATCAGAGATTTGGGGTGTTCACATCACTGTCTTTGCTGTTATATAACATCACTGTTATGGGGAGAGTGGGCGTGGATCTTTATTGCAGTGAAGGTACCCAAAAGAAGAATGAAGTGTTATCCTGGGAGAAGAGTTTGGGAAAATCTGTGACTGGTGGATGAATAGCAGGATTGTGGAAGCCATGTCCTGCCAGTAACTGACTCAAGATGGGGTGCTGTTTACCTTGGAATAAGGGGTTCAGAGCTGTTTTAGAGTATGGGCACAAATATACTGGGAGTAAATCATATTAACTCTGTTGAATTGGCATTTTATTTACAGGCAAACATACATACACTTTAGCTGTTCTGAACTCACCCAACTTCCAGACTATGGTCCCTGGATCATCACTAACCAAGTTGAGTTTTTGCCCCCAAGTTTATATACCTGTATCAGCAAGTGCAGATAAAAGCCCCCTTCCCATTTACTTTTTATATATTTATGTTTAGATTTTTGTGTCTATTAATTACATTTATGCCCCACTTTTCCTTCAGGTGGTTCTCCAGATGCCAAGACGACCAATTCTGAGCATGACCACCCTTGGGAATTCTGGGAACTTGCCTGCATGCTTGGTGGGTTCCTAGGTTGGAGAAGGCTGCTTCTAACCTTGATTTACCATCTAGGAAGACTATTGATGCTTTTGAACTTTGGTGTTGGAGAAGACCCCTGAGAATAGTATGGACAACCAAAAAAACAAACCAATGGATCACTGAACAAATCAACCCAGAGTTCTCACTCGTGGCACAAATGGCCAGGCTCAAGTTAGCATATTTTGGGCACATTATGTAAAGACCCAATTCTCTGGAGAAGGCTCTAATGCTAGGAAAGTTGGAAGGAAAGAGAAGAAGACCAGCAGCAAAGTGAATGGACTCAATTACAATGGTGGTGCGTACACTGTTGGAAAACCTGAAAGACCAGGTTAGGGACAGATTGTCATGGAGAAAATCTTTGTGTCTTGTGTTTGCTAAGAGTCAACAATGACTTGATGACACATAATCGCTCAATAATCAATCTGGCTGGATTCACACAACTAGTTAAACCCCTAGGGAGGTGAAGCAGCTTATCTTATTATGGCTTAGTGGTCCTATCCCATAGCATATCTCCAGGTTCTCAGTTAAGGGAATCTTTCTCAAGCTGGTTCTTTTGATTTTTCTACCCTGGAAGGCTCGGGGGTCAAAATTCCAGATTTGGTGTGTTCACATTGAGCTCCTGTTCAGCTAGCTACCTACAATCTGCCACAATATTTATCAAAACACTGCCTCAAAACTAGGGGAGAATCATTGGCTAAGAAAATAAGAGCACTCAAATAATCAGCGTGGGACTATTGCAAAAACCAGCCAAGTTCTGGGGTTTTTCCCCCCCCCTTTCCTAGCTACTAGCCTTAGAAGAATGGTTGTTTAGAAAAACCTGTTGCCTTATAATGAGAACCTCTTAAGTTTGAAGTCATGTTTTGAATCTTATTCCCAACTGAGTTTTATTCCTAGCTCTGTTTAAATACTAGTGGATTGTATATCTTTAGCTTTATTACTTCTTTTTCCTGCAATTTTCTGTAACCCCCTAAGTATAGCTGAGAAACAGAATCCAGAATGAGCATTTGTAGTTCAAACTGCTATGCACATGGGAGACCCATTTTCCCCCCTAAAATGTGTGTAGTTTCAAGCCTGGTCCTCCCAGAAAGTACTGATGCACATATTTTTAAAAATCCATAAAAGTATAACAAAGCAGTAAAAAATTATTTGAACGATAAATATCAGAACTTGTTGCAAGGGTTATTTCTGCAGCCTATAGAGAATAGAACAGCGACTGAACAAGAAAAAGCGGAAAGACCAGATTTCTGCAGCATCTCCAAGAAGGAAGATTCTACAATTATATTCCCTTCTCATAACATTCCAAATTTCACATTCCTTAATGGTAGTTTGCAGTTTTACATTATTACAGAAGCTTGAAACTGGCAACCAAAAGTTGAAGATATCAACCCCTTTAAAAAATAAAAAGGGTATCAACATTTATAGCGTAAAACTGCAGAGGAGTTCAAGTTTTTTTTTTTTTTTTTAAAAACATATTTTAATATAAAGTACAAAAAAATGCATGTTTAAGGAAAACTGTTATCTCATTTATTTGATTAATACAGAAATGGGACAAACCAGGCTTTTAAATGAATGGACGCAAAACAGAAAATAGCCTGATTTCTGCATTCTATAAGAACATAAGAAAAATATGATGGAGGAGACTAAGTGTCCATTCATTTCATAACCTGGGTTCCCAGAGTCACAGAAACAGTTCAAATCCTGTGTTCAGTAAATGATACTGCTTTCTTTCACAGACAGCTGATTCAAAGATAGGCTGCATCTACACACAGAGGTTCAATTTTAGCCTTTGCACTTCCACCTCATTTGCAGGCCGTGCCTTTTCCATGAATTTGTCTGATTTCTTTCAAAAGCCAGCAAGGCCAGGGGAACACCACAGTTTGCTGTGATAGGATGACACCTCTATGACAAAACATGTGCTTTCGCAAGAGATGAACCCAGCCCAGGTGTAGGCTGTAAATGTCCTCTGCAGCTGAATATCTGGGGCACCCCGAGACCCCTTGCCCAATTTTGGTAGCCCAATTTGCAAAAGTTATTATTTTCATTTCTAGCATGTTGCACAATTGGGGGGTGGTTTGTTTATGAAGATTCTCAGTCACCCAGGTGGAGTTGTCTGGAGGTTGAGTCATGGCAACTGGACTTCTTTTCTTCTTCTTTTTGGTTAAAGAAAAGAAGTCCAG